TCTTTTCTTTTCTTTTCTTTTCTTTTCTTTTCTTTTCTTTTCTTTTCTTTGTTTTTTGTTAAATTAAAAAAACTGACATGGTGGAATCAGAATAAAAGAGGTTTGATTTTAAACAAGTTTAAATCCTAGTGAAGACCAGATTATTTTGAATATGTTTTGATGCATAAAACTCCAGATTTAAATCAGGATGTGTGTTTTTTATTTTATTTTTCTTAATATACCCTGAAATCCAAGCTTTTGGTTGAGCTTTAATAGAATCACCTKTTGGATCTTTGTGCATAAATCTAATTTTGTAGTATTGAAAAATGTAAAAAAGAAAATGTGAGGACAATAATCTGTCTCAGATTATTTTGAGTGAGCTGCTTCGAGTCAGCACCTCCTCCTCTCAGCCTGCTGATAAAGAATGACTTGTTTGTTTGTCTTGTAAACAAATTCCTGTCGTCTCACTGCAGCGTGAGCAGAGCTGACAGCCCATCACGTCTCACATCTTCACACACAAACTCCTCCCACATCCCTGGATATAAAAACATAAAGATGATGTATTAATATCATCTCTGCACTGGAAATCCTCTCCTCTGTTCCCAGGATGTTCACGTCCACATCGTGGACATGTCCAGTGCCAGACAGGTGTGGCAGTTCGCTCAGAGCTTCTCCCAGAAGCACACGGTGCACGTGCTGGTAGGTGTCTGCAGAAACGTGAGATTATGTGTGATTCACGGCAGGAGCTGGATCGTTTTCAGTGTTTGTCCTGCGTCACAGATCAACAACGCAGGCTGCATGGTCAACCAGAGGGAGTTAACTGAGGAGGGTTTGGAGAAGAACTTTGCCACAAATGCTCTGGGTGAGGAAACAAACAGCTCTGGTTCAACACACACTGTCTTACTTTTAGAAAACCTGAAACACTTCTTCACTCTTTTGAACAAAATAAACGATTTTAGACGTAAATGCTTGAATAAATAGTTGGGAATTTACAGCTAAAGTTCTGTTTACGTTTCTCTTCACACACACAGAAATAAAGATCTCTCAAAATTAACTGGAAATAAAACATTTCACCTGTTTGAGTCTGACACTTTGATACACACCATTAACCTAAAGGTTACTGAGAACTTCAGTAACTTATAGGTTACATGCACTGTAAAAAAATAATTTGTAAGATTTACTAGAGAAAATCCTGTAAACGGTTTGCACTAACGTTTGTTACATAAATTTAAATGCCACAAATTCATGTAATATTTACTCATCATTATTTAGTAAAAGTTATTCAGAATATAGTTAAAGATTTGTGAATAAATCAGGTAAATTTTACTTAATTTGCTCAATTAAATCTTGTAACATATACTTGATGAAA